CCACGATTCAGCAAAAAGAGGAATTACGGACCAAGTCTTGCCGTCCAGAAGCCAAGTGGATCCGTTTGACCTCTGATTTATGAAGGATCCGCTGAACGGATCCGCTCATGCTTCGGTATATTGGACCTACATGCTGGGGACAGGTGTTGTGCAAAAATTGGGCTCAAGATGTTGGCTGACAACCGTTCCACGAATTTCGTGACAGACAGACAGACTTACAAAAACACGCAAACAACCCTTAACCCGTTATTATAACTCAAAATATTTGAAAAAGCCGAAATGCATGGTAAGGAGTACAGGGTTGGGGAAACCTGTTATGGCCTTTGGAGTGCTACTACCGTGTTGTCTCCCCTCCGCCCACAACGTCACCATAGAAATTTTTCTTGTTTAGGCTCATTCAACAGAACGACTCGGGATCGACCACGTTTTTGTCAACCGGGAATAGAGCTTGCTGATATCTTACTGGGGAAGAATCTAACTTACACTGGCGATCTGGTAAATGCACATCATTAGATGCGTCTTTTGAGGTGCATCTAAATCTAGATTCCATATCTGCGAAGTTTTCTAGAAGAAGTTATGAGTATTTAAAGGTCCAAATTTGGCAATTCAGTGCTACAATTTAGAAAACAGTTTAGGTAGGACCCGGCACGGTAGTGGCAAATGTCATGGAAATTGTTTTAGGGTAAAAGCGAAGGGGACATTACGCACTCCTCGAGAAGTTGCTACACGACTGACATGCAAAAACACAATCTTGCTCGCGCCTCTTCAAAAATCCACATTTCTTTCTATTAGGTAGTGATTGATTGCCTCGTTTAAAGCGCGCTTAACGCGCATAATGTCTCAACGCATTACTCCGATTTTGGTGTGTAAACGGACAAGGGCTAAAAGAAGTACAGGGCAGAGTCCTATGGAGATCTTGAGTGACAGAATGTTGGGCAATCTTCTTCTTTGAAATTTTATCATTACCATACAATGGAAACGAATTTTCTGCAAGGCACAGATAACTATGGCACGAAAGTTGGTGAATATACGCTCATTGGAATTAGGTATGGAAAATATGAAGAACCCATATCCATCAAGACGTGCGACCTTTCTTCCAATTAGGTGGACATATGCCCACATAATGCCAACTTGAGGTGGCAAAACAACCAGTTCACATGATACTTCGTACATGTGGTCGAATCATTTGTAACCAGGGTTGAGCGTGGGGTCAGGCGCGCCCGACCTGGGGGGTCGTACTGGGGTAAGACAGAGGGGGGGGGTCGTGATTAGGAATCGAATTCGTTCGATTGATGAGTTACTACGATTAAAGTGAAGAAGAAAAGCGCTAGTTTAGTGGATATCGCGACCTCACCAGTACTGAAGGAATGAACGGTCTTAAACAGCATACTGATTGATTCCACAACCAAAGTTTCGGCCAAAACTCAAATCTTCATCTTCTACCTTGACATATTATAAATTCATCAAGGAAGCTTGCTGTGTGAAATGGGTATCATTTCCGAGCACGTCAAATTACCTCTATGAGCCCTACAAACTATTATTTACTGCATTATCTAGTGTTTCTCAACGACTAAAAAGCGTGATTTTCAAACATGATTAACTTGTTTTCAAAAGTGAGAAAAGTCAATTTTTTTGTACTCGTAACAAAGTATTGTTCCCTACTAGTCTAGGCTAAAAATCGCGCTTTGTATCGCTTGCAAACAGTGATGTAAGAAATAATGCCAAAATTCCGACCGGCGCGTTTTTCTCCATGACTGCTTCAACTCCACGGATTACCACAAGGCCGAAACAAGTCGAATCAAGTCCAAACGCTTACTGTGGAATCTTCGAGGGTTGTGCTAGCGATTCACATAAAACTTGAATAAAAAAGCTTCTTCAATGATAAAGTTAATCGGGTCAGGCGCAACCCCATAAAAGGTCAGGCCGCCTGAGCTTTTGAGGGGTTGCGCCTGACCCGATTAACTTGTTTCCAAAATCTGAAAATCACTCCATTTCTGCTATGAGTATTGAACTCAAAGCCTCTTCTTGCAATACTGCAAATTTGGAGCCAAACAATACACCCCTGTGGGAATTATAGCTCTAAAAGTAGGGCTATCCAAAATCCAAAACTTGCCGTCAAGTTGCGTGTGCTGTGCAATCGCAGAAAGTCGACCTACAGACCTCCAAAAAACAAGAACCTCCCAAAAACGGCTGATCACTTCGAATTATCACAGCCTGAGGTCCTGGAGGTGAAGCAGAGGGGTCGTTTAGGGGCTTTCACTGGGGGGGGGGGTCGTTTTGGAAAGACTTGTGCCTGACCTCTTGCTCAACCCTGTTTGTAACTTAATATGTGTAGTGCACACAATACACGTTAACCGATGAACTGCGAAACTAGAACCCGCTCAATTCCAGTGATTTCTCCTTGTTTCCTTGTTTCTTTTGTTTTAGTTGGTTATATGTTAGTAAGTAGAACACAATTCTTCATTTTGTTAGGCTAAAAAAATGTTTTACTAAGAAGTTACCAGTATGGATGCCGTTGCTAGAAGGGCTTAGTGTGCAATCTCACATATTAAGTTACAAATTACTCGAGGTTACATACTTCTGTTTTGCACCTAAAGTTTACTATATAGTGACTTTTGGTTTCGAAGCTTCTCCTTTCCTCTTTGTTGGGATCTTCTGATCTTCTGTAAGCTTCTGTACATATGGAAAGTTTGTGTTGCGAAACATAACCGTTTGCGCGCTGTGTAGGTAGCGTCATCCGTTATCGTTACCACAATAAGTTTAAGGCTGCGTTCATACTGATCCGGAAGTTCGGGAACAGTTCCAGCACATCATTGAACTGAGCACGGTGATGGAACTGTTCCCGAACATCCGGTTTGAACGCAGCCTTAGACTGCATTTTGAAAGTAAAGCCGCTTAACCCTTGGATGGTTGTGGTATCAGATTCTCAAGTGTTCTCGATCATTGAGACGAAGGTAGATCGGCAATTTGTAGACTTTATTACGGCATGCAACGTTATTTGAACTTCACACGCTCTCCACAATGTCTGACGAAGCTCAAAGTTATGAGAAGCTGATGTTGCTTGGTCCGCTTTTGTTATCTGTCCTCAAGTGATTTGACATTATTGAAGCGGTAGTGCTTTGACGACGGCTCCATGCTCTCAGCGACAGTGTCTTCGCAATAGCTCGAAACTTTACCGAAGCTCTTGAGCGACTAATCGAGTTGGGAGAAACGTTACCCAAGGAATCGCGGTGCGTTCGCCATGGATATGAGCTTCTGCAATAACTGAGAAGATTATTGAGTAAAAGTAAGAAAGCACTCTACTTTGACACAATAGATGTTGCTGGTGGTGCTAGACTCGATCGCGGTGATGCAGATTGTCTCATTCGAAAGTCGATGTATTCCTTGGTTACTATAGCACGATCTTGAGGCTATAAGAAATTACATGGATCATGATAAAAGAATAAGTAAACGATAAAGGAGCGCGCCTTCTCGTCTCGCCAAAAATATTGAATGAAAATTCTTTTCTTGAAGTTGTAGCTTTTTTCTCCTCCTGCAAATCATCATATACTTTCACAAACACAAACAAAGCTGTTCTACCTTCAGTCACCGGGCTAATGACGGACACAATGCGATGAAAACCAGGACAAGTCTTCCAAGAGCTGAAGTATCGGGAAACTCGGAAGACCTGTATCATTGACCACTTTATGGTATACTCACGATTTTACTTTTTGGTTTCTCCTGGTTTTCTAAAAGAAACTGACCTTATGCAGAGAAACCTTGGCAATGCCTCCTCCTCGCGATCGTGACCTGTAGGCGCCTCGCATTTCACCTCGACAGGTTAATAGCGTCACCTTAACACTTTTTTACGATTTTAACAAAAGAAACTGTTTTAAGAATTTTTCTGCTGAAAAGTAGTTCATGATAAATTGACTTTGACAAGTGACAGGCAAGTGATGGCGAGAATCAAAGTGTCAGTGTCACTGCGATATTTTGAAACATATTCATAAATCATATTATCTTTTCTCGAGTTAGACCTTATCAGCAACCTCTTATGCATTTCGGATATGTTTTGTAATCTGTATATGTTGAAAGTTGGCGTCATGTCTTGCCTTCATATCATTCATACCTTTACAAAAACAACTTATGCACAAGTGCAATCCCAATGTTCGCATTCAATATCAGACTCATGTTGGAGCTCTCCTACCTTCGGCGCTGACCATCTGCACAAACCACAATGTTGTCATTTGTACCTCTTGCTATCACGGCGCTGTTGTATTTGTAGAGATGCTAATTGGCAAGTAGAGAAACAATTTGTTGCTAGGTGCACCTGCTCAGATCATGGATGTATAAGTGGTAAGCCATGCATAGGAACGCTTCGAGTAGGTGTCCAATAGCGCTGATGGCGAAATTCGGAACTTTCTATACGTTACTTTAGGCATCTTTTCGTTTTCCTTTCGCTCCTTTATCCGTCTTACTTCGTCTTGTTGGTTTATGCGTTGCTGTTCCATATAAAGGTTTGATTATCCAAGAATATCACACTCGAGGCGTTCGCGCAGCCTCAAAGCCCCGTGTGTCAACGGACTTGCAGCTCGAGCCCCCTGTGTGTCACATTAGCCCAAATAGCCAAGTGTCCGCTTTCTTAAACCCGTCTCTCACCTGATGAAAAGTGGTCAGATTGTCTGACGAGTAGAACCTTGTGCTATTACTAGTCTGTTTCCACCACTGCGATTCCATCAAGATATCGTCTACAGTCACTTCATCACCGTCACAAATAAAGCAAAGGTTATCACTGACAAGTGATGGGGGAACCTGAAGTAAACGGAAAAGCTGAGAAAGGATGTTTATGTTCAGTTCCGTGGTTTTCACCTTGCTTATGTATTTGATAGGGCAAGTGAGAGTATTAGTCAGAGTGGAAGGCCCATCTAGTGGTTTTTCATCGACAGAAAATACCGGAATTGGCTCGCTGGTATCTCCATAATGAAAGAGGACTTCGTCATCTTCTTTTCCTAGGTACGATTATCAAGAAATAAAACCTTTTTTCTTCAACAAAAACAGCAAAGTTTATAAAACCACTTACCTAGCCTTACAGGACTCGCATTCACTTCTATAGGAAAATCGATAGTAGAATCTTCTGATTCGTCTCTAAATAAGTGAAAACAACTGCAACGATGGTCCAAGATATGCTATTTTAGTAGTCTCCAACAAGAAGCCGTCATCTGCATCCTTCCGAAAGCTTTCCTGCATGATACTTACCGGTCGAAGTTTGACATTCTTAACAGCGGAGCGCGCATGATGGGAGCATTTCCGTCTTCGAGAATTACGGCAAACATGCACGAATCGTCTTCTACGAATCTGTATGAATGCCAGTTGAAAGAAGTTTTCACTGTACAGAGTATAGAGCGCGTCTAAAAGAGGCAGCCAAGAAGTTTCACATACATAGAACATTCAGATGCATTCGCATTCCATTCACTTGAAAGGAATTATCAAACTTTGTTAATTTGTGGCTTTCTTATTCTACAAAGAGTATTCAATTAGCCACTGTGCAAGTGATAATATTCTGGTCAAACGTTCTGTACAAAACTTTTTTATGACCATGCCAAGTACGATGCTAAAGGGCTACAATCCCTTGCTCTTACAATTATCTCATACTTTAAAAGTAATCGGTTCCTTCGTGCTATTTTTGCGATACGTCTCGATATCAAGAGTTTTTTTTTGGCTGTTTGAGACAAGAGCAAATGAATCTCTTGCATAATCTAACAAGGAAAGGATGTAGCCGAAGTGGCATTTGAAATAGGATGTAATAATTCTAGAGAATATAAATCGCTGATTCCAAATCTGTTTTTTTATATGCGGAGCCTCATTGGGCGAGGAGTTATGAGGGCTTTTGGGGGCAGGAAATCGAATGCGCGAAAAGAGAAAATTGGTTGTCAAAATCTTCGTGGCTCAAATGAGGCAGCTGGAAGTATATTTGAACTCAGAGTTGCATAGATGCTTTGACAATTATCACTGCCCTAATTAGCGCGCTCAAAAAATATTATAAATAATTTTAGGGTAGTCGCGCATGCAAGTTTTTGCTCCAAATGTTCATAACTCCCGACCAAAAAAGCTCCGCAGATAGAAAAAGCAGTTTTAAAATTAGCGTTTCGTGTCCTCTAAGATGTTATACATCACATTTCAAAAAGCAACTTCAACTAAACATTCTTATCTTGTAAGTAGCGTAAACTTCTCCGCACCGCGGACCTGCATCCGCGATTCGATTTTAAAACCATTTGCTGGTTGGTGTACAGTTTGCCCCAATCGGGATCAGGCCGAACCGTCGGCTGGATTTGCGCGCTCGCAGCGCTAGGGAATTGCGCTGCATACGCGCGCTGTCGCAGAGGGTGAAGAGATCGAGGAGAGAGCAGACTAGCTAGCCGCAGATGTGGCGCGAAACCCTCACGGCGCGAACTCCCGCCATGCCGATTTTGGCCTGGTTAGTATTGGGGCAGACTGTATGCAGTTGCCAACAGTTCGCGATGAGATCTGGCGATGAAATTCTCATGCCATTATATCACCGCGCAGAAGTGCTTTTGTGGAAGAGTAAAGGGATATTACAAGTTGCCGAAAAGGTGTCGCTGTAAAATCTATTCTTGGACCAGTTTTCCCAGTTACCAACCTCATGTTGGATACGAGGGATATGTCTCCATTAGAAACGGACTCTACATATTTTTGCAACGCGCTCAAAATTGTGTGCTCAAAATAATTTATACGGGCGTTCGAGAAACAGTATTGTCTTTGAAATCATCAAAAGTTTATGCACATTTGAGACATGCCAAATATTAGGTCGTACCGAAAGTTCTGTCGTTTCATTTTTGAAAAATCATAACTTTGCGCTGTCACAACGGAATCACCACCTTATATTTTTATTAGAAAAAGTAAATCTTTCGCTTTCGAATGCTGTTTTGCGGAGCTCGCGATTCACTGGGTGCGGAGATAAAAATGGAAAACTAAGACCATATAAGCTTTGACCATTTTAAGTTAGCTCACCAAAAATCTGGAATGCCGCAGAAAAATCTGAAATCGTCAGTACATATGTTTTTTGGCCTACCCTTGCATCTGTGAAAAGTTTGTGCTGTTTCGACGTCTCTGTGAGAAGTTATGATTTTCCCTAAAATTGACGAATTAATTAATTTTGGTGTTTTCCATAGTAAACTCGATATTCATAACTTCTCACAGAGACGTCCAAACGGCACAAACTTTTCACAGATGCAAGGGTAGGCCAAAAACATATGTACTGACGATTTCAGATTTTTCTGCAGCATTCCAGATTTTTGGTGAGCTAACTCAAAATGATCAAAGCTTATATGGTCTTAGTTTTCCATTTTTCTCTCCACACCCAGTGTAAAGCGCAAGCTCCGCAAAACAGCATTCGAAAGCGAAAGACTTACTCTTTCTAATAAAAATGTAAGGAAGTAAATCTGTTGTGACAGCGCAAAGTTATGATTTTTTCAAAAATGAAACGACAGAACTTTCGGTACGACCTAATACATAGTCCGTTAGCTGTTTCGATATGGCTCGTCCTGGTCAGATAGCTTTGATACGTCATCGTAGGGGTTTTGATACGACCTCCAAATTTCAATTCTCCATGGAAAGTTTGATAAAAAATAAAGCTGCTGACTGAGTCAGCTGAAGATAGGGGTTCCACCTATAGAGGTTCTTAAAACTCTTGTTTTTGTCGTTTTCGTTCCAAGTTTCTTTCTAAAATCTCTAAAATAGTCCTTGATTTTAGCATAGCGGATAAGCCAGGTAAGCGGCAAAATTGCAAATTAATTTTTTGCCCAGACACTTCCTTCAAATTTCATGCGCAGCTGGAGCCTGTTGAAGGCAAATACGTTAGTGTAAAACTTAATCTAATAACGCTGGAAGTGAAAATAGTATCATTTTGCAACCTTCGCCTATTCTGTTGATTTTCAGAGGCAAAGAACTTGCATTCTAATTAGAAGGAGAAGAAAATAGAGTAGCACATTTTATACCACATAGAAGTGATATTGAATTTTCTTCAATGTACATTCAATATAACATAAAGAAAGAGATTCGCAAGAATGGCAACAGCAGTAGAGCAGTGGAAGTAGCTGTAAACGACATAAACATGGCTGCCGCCTAGAAAAAGAATCACGCTCAGGCAATAATCGGACTGTTGCATGCACACAGTAGAAAGACTTGAGGAGTTTGATGGTAGATTCGAAGTAGAACGTTGTAAATGCGATATCTAAGAAGGGAATAAGATCCATAGATTTGAAGAAGTTTTCATAGCAACCTGAGCGATGGAGATCCGTGTTGAAAACGGAGTTTGATGAACCCGTTGGAAGAAGACAGTGTAGGATAAGCCAAAAAGAAGCAGCGGATATTCATAGAGAACAACATCTATATTATAAATGTGAAGATTTTGAGAGATTTGTACGAACTGTCTCAGTCAAACCTCTCCAAATCACCACATTCCATTCACAACGATAAAAAGAGATCGCAAGGCACACAACATTATATCTTCTGAGACCTCTTCCTAGAGCCCGGTTCGGTGACAAATCGCAGAAGCCGTTGCCGTCGAGGATCAAACTCCTTTTGAACCCTCGCCTTTTCCACAGGCTTCGCGTTTCGCCACAAGTACTGGACAAAAAGACGCTTCTTGAAATCCGGGTTCACGTTCCGGTCATCAGTGACCCGGTCGATCATCGTCACAATGCGATGGAATGATGTGCACGTCTTCCAAAAGGAGTAAAAGCGGATCACTTTGTAGACGTGGCTCAGCGGAACCTTGTTATCGCGATTGTGCGATCGCGCTGATGCTCCGCTCACCGAAGATCGCGGCGTCGAGGTGGACGAAGCGGCTGCTGCCGAAGCTGTCGCTTGTACCTAAAAAGCATAGTGTTGCTCAACGGTCTGATCACAGTGACCCTGCCCCTGCTTAGGAAATGCTATGACTTGTAAAGTTGTCTGTGCAGAACTCTTTCCTCGGAAAGTGACTCTTCATTGGATATTTGAAGGTAGTACCTACATCTTCTTCTATGATATTTCAGTTTTAGTATGCTTTCAAGATCTCAAAGGAGCCAGTTATACAGAAAACTCCTGTATTGAAATTTATTCTAACCAATCTGCAAACTATTCTATCTTGAAAGACTCTATATTGCAACGGTCCTACTTGACTTCTTCACTATGCTCTCACCTGCACTGCGCCGGTAGCTAATTTAGCCGTGATGACCTTTCCTTTTACGGCAATGCAGTTTACACGATGGAATTGCCTCAGGTCCTCGGAGTAGAAGTACTTGGTTGGTCGTGACGTATGCCGCCACCACTGATCATCACCAAGTATATCACCCATCCGAACACGCTCGCCATCAACAACGAAGCAGTAATTGTCCTAAATTCTGGTGTGCAGGCAACGGATAAATCGGCCGTAGCATTTGAAGATTGTGGAATTTGGCTCAAAGTTTGCGTGTAAAAAAGTCAAACCCACTTCCACCATTGTGGGAGGTATTGCTCCCGTAAGCATACTTGACGGAGCCGACATAAGGTTAGCCAGAGCTGCTTCTGTCTGCACGGTATCGTGATGAACAGAATGAACAGGAAGATCCTGCAGAATAGAATTAGATGTTTTAAATAGCAACAGTAGAATTAAAACTGACTTTGTGGAAGATAACGGGATCCTCTGTAGAGAGCAATGACTCGGCAGTCATGCCAGAGTCAACAAGCTCAAAAGCTCCCAAGTCCAGGTCGTGATTGCCATCATTTTCGTCCTCGGAGGACGAATCTTCGACGGCAGGTCTGAAAAGTGGAAAAGGTTGACTTCATCATCAAAAATATGAGACAACACGAACACGACTTGAAACTCGCTGGTGACTGCATAGTAATGAAGTTGTCTTTTCAAGCTTAAACGCTTTAAAGCTTTGCGCAGTCATGTTGGAAAGACCTTCTTTGAGGTATTGTTTGTGAATGATTGCTCTTGGTCAATCTCTCCAATCATAATATCAAAAGAGCTGCCTATCGTATGACAGTATTGATAGTGCGTTTATTATGGTGATGTCTATCAGTGCCCTGTTGCTCTTTGTAGGCAGTGCATACTATAGTGTAATGAACGGAAATTTTCATCGAATGAATGAATATCGAGTAATTGATCTCGCATGAACAAATATCAAGGATTTTTCGAACGAAAACGATTATTTCGATTACCGATTTTCATATTAATGGAATTCGAATTTTCGTATAGAGGCACAAAATTGAAGCTTCGAATTTTCGAATAACCGAACTAACGTTGTCAGATAGGCCCATCACGCAAAAATACCAGCACATTATGTTTTGGCCCACCATCGTATACGTAGTAAGCATAATAAAAGATCTATAAAAGCATATGAACATCGGTTTCGTAATTAGCATGTAAATAAACCCTACGGGCCAAGTTTCAGCGACTGAGGTTTCAATATTGGGTCACCTAGGTGAGATGATCATTTGCAAACATGTTATCTTTGTTTTAAAGATGAGATAATTATTTCTTTTTGCATTCAATACAAAGAACTACTACTTCTTTGCTCACATTAGGAATTTTACTTCAAATAACCTTCAAATTGAGGAACTAAGAGCAAGCCAAAATCGTTTGTTCCATTTTTCACTCTCATCTCAGACTGGAGAAAACCAATCAGGCTCAAATCTCTTTGGTGAAAATTACGAGATTTGGGCCATCGAATATATTTGTTTTCGCTGCCTTCCCTCACAATTCACGTGGAAGCGCATTTAGCATGTACCGTACTATTATTTTAGCAGTATTGATTATATATTTACCTAGGAGGAGCGATTCTGAATAGAATTCCCACTGTAAAAAGGTTTAGCAGTAGCAATGATATGAAAAACACAGATATTTGCATGTTTTGCGGGTAAGTTAATGATGTATGGCACAACCCCTAAAAAGGTGTGGTGAACACAGTTTTTCTGGGGTTGTGCCACACCCCATTAACTTATTCAACTTACCTTTAAAAAGAATATTAGGGAACAAGTTGTACGCAGTTCGCTAGCAAAAATCTTTCTTGAAAGTGATAAGAGCTGTATTCGTTCTCTTTCGCTTGAGCAATGGTTGCTCGAAGCACAAATACTGCGAGCGTAAAATGGGACAAACGAGATTCTGGCTCGCAATTCCATATTCTGATGGGTATTTGAGGCAGGATTTATGGTATAGGGGAAACGGAGTAGTGCTATATATTGAGTAGAAAAGAAGTAGCTATTAGGTTGATGCAAAGGTAATGGCCGATTTTTCAAGCCTTTTATCTTCTTCGAAATATTAGGATGTTACATAAGTCTTGTTACACTTAAATTCTAACGGCAATAAGTCATACACCTCATAGTCTTTGCAGGACTCCAAGGTACCATTCGATAGAGCAAAGCAAGCTCTACAAGATGGTCTGCAAAAGTTCGCACCAGCTCCGACCCACCGTAAGTTTGCACCCAAAATCTGAGTCGTACTGAAATTCAAAAAATCGCGAAAAATTCATATCTTTCTTCAGAAAAATCCTACAAATCTCCAAATTGTTCACAAAAATTGCCCACTATATCAGACACTTATATGTACCGTTGCTGTTTTTTTTTCTTATCTAGAAATCGAGAAAAAGAATTTTTTTAGTTTTTACAAAAAGGAAGCCATGCTGTTTCTATTCATGTAGCTGTATACTACAAACTTTTAGAAGTATAACTGTAAATTTTCAGCTTCCTAGGAGCCCTAGTTTTCGAGAAATACCAAATTTAGCTTTTGTCACTCGGGTGTTCAATGCCAAATTAAGTAATTTTCGAAAAACTAAGGCTTCTAGAGAGCTGAAAATTTACGGTTATATTTCTAAAGGTTTGTAGTATACAGCTACGTAAATAGAAACAGCATAGCTTCGTTTTTGTGAAAAATAAAAATTTTTCCTTTTTTCGATTTCCAGATAAGGAAAAAATACAGCAACGGTACATATAAGTGTTTGATATAGTGGGCAATTTTTGTGAGCAAGTTGGAGATTTGTAGGATTTTTCTGAAGAAAGATATGAATTTTTCGCGATTTTTTGAATTTCAGTACGACTCAGATTTTGGGTGCAAACTTACGGTGGGCCGGAGCTGGTGCGAACTTTTGCAGACCATCTTGTAGAGCTTGCTTGGCTCTATCGAATGGTGCCTTGGAGTCCTGCAAAGACTATGAGGTTTATGACTTATCGCCGTTAGAAGTTAAGTGTAACAAGACTTATGTAACAACCTAATATATAGGGTATCACTGAGAGCTGAAGCAGGCTTCCACCCTCATGTTATAAAGTTACTGATCTTCAAATAACCGCAACCAAATTCGGCATTTCACTACATTCACTTTTCTGGCCAGAATGCAAGAGCGCATGTACGGAGCTTTTTCGGAAATTTTGCTATTGTATGTAATAGAAATTGTCTACATTAAGCATACTTGACTATATTTCTGGAGTTATCCAGACTGAGATATCGGCGCCTCAATATGAATAGCCGTTGCGGTCATTTTATGACTCACAAGTTCCTTTTGAAAAGGCCAAAGCTCAACACTGTAAGCGTAGTGCTAGTGCATCTCAATAGCTGTTTTTGCAAAAACATCCAGCTGTTCATTACGCAGAGAATCGGGAAATTCTATATTTGGGGTTTTAAGGCATACTGACAACTGATGAAAATAACTAACAACTTTAAATTCAATTTTTTTCCCTTCCGCAAATTTTCTTCTCCAGACCCTTTTCATCTATTTTGTACTACTGGCCTGTGGCTACAGGATAGGTCACTTGCATGATAACAAATTTTGAAGGATATGAATTGTCAAAAACAAGGTTTTGGAGAAAAAAACCTTTTTTATCTCTTAATCCGTATTTTTCTTCCCGTTCATGAGTACAAGAGTGTGCGCTGTATTGGGAAAGGTTTGCTGCTTCTGACGGTCTTTATCGTATTCAGAAATATGGATATTTCAGAAAGTTATAGTATGTGAAAATGAAAATTCGCAAAACGGCCATTATTTTTGCATCAACCTAATAATTTACTTTTATAATATAGTTAACCATGTTTGAAAATGGCCACTTCACTTGGGTGGCTCAATACTGGGAACCCTCAGAATTCGCTAGAACTTGGTCCACGGGGTTGTTTAACATGATAATTACGATTATATAAGTAGTTATGCTTGAAGCCTTTATGTCATGCTTACGGTAAGTAAACGAAAATTGGGGGGAGAGGTATCGAGACGGAACTTAGGGGGAGGGGGTCGTATCGACGGTCGTGTGCCACACCTCTTGCTCGACCCTGGCTATGATGTCACCAGCGCGTTTCAAAAACAATGTAAAAGTGAGAAGTAGCGTTAGTAGTACAAAATCAGCGAAATCGCAAAAGTCGAAAACGAAACACGAAAACCATAATCACAGAACTGTATATTAGTGTGTATAAACCAAATAAGACCAAACACAAAGACAAACACAAAAAGAAACTTGAGAGAGAAATGAAAGATTTCGCAACAGCTACCACGAACCAAACACAAGGAACATAAGTGGCGGAAAGGACGACAGCACCGTGACTGGCACAGCAGTGTTAGTTTAGTGAATGGTTGTTAGTGAGCATTCCACGCATAGTCTACCCCAACTATACTGAAATTTGACCACCAAATGCTGCACAGCGAAAGCTCTCGCATTTGTATGCTCGCGTTTTGGGTTTTTTCGTGCTTTAAAGAAAGTAAACTGTTTGAATAAGGTTCAGTGATTTCAGCAATCCAAAGTTGGAGACGACTTACAAGAAAAGAGTAAAAAAGAAGAACACAAAACTGAAAACCTTGAAGTGCTCATGGTTCCACTTTGCTCCGGTACATATTCGTGTTCTTCGGGAAGCACCTCTATCTCGCTTTGTACATCCACGAAAATCGGCGCTGCCATCCTTGGCATTGGGACCTTCGTCGGTAGATGAATTCGAGGAGGGCTAGGCTCTCGAGGAGGAGTCGAGATTCCGGATGTGCAAGGCACCGCTTCCGGACATGGAGCAGATGCGGTTGGTGTCACTGGGGTGGGTAACTGTGGTGGAGTTGGCGATGGGGGTGGTGATGATGGAATATGTAGTGTTGTCGGCACTGGAGGAGGTGTCGGATCCTTTGGTGGAGGAGTAGGTGATGATGGTGGAGGTGGGCGAGCCACGGGCGGAAGCATAGTCACACTGAGTTCAGTTGGTTTGCGCACAGCAACACCGGCCGCTGGCGCAATAATTGCCGCAGAATGCAACTTCTGTACGGAAGTCTTCGTGGGAACCATTTTGGGTTTTGTCGTTAACGGTGTCGCCGCCGCAGTCGGTTGCGACGTCGCTACGTCTCCTGATGAGGTCTTCATTGTCTCCAACGTGATCGGCTCGTAGACCAGGCTTCAAACTTATGGATAAGCGTGCAGGTGAATGGTGAATACAAATTATTAACTAAAGGTGCCCAGGGCAGTTCTAGATAAAGGAAAAACTAAGAAGTGCTTTTTACTGCTAAGAACTCATTTTCAGTGGAAAAGATTGCAAAAAAACTAATTGTTGAGAAATTAAAAACTGAACAACTCTACTGTGAAGGTGATTATAGCAGACAGAGATTATGATTATTCTATAGGAACTAAAACCTACCGTTCGTATGGTTTGCTATACTCTTCAAGCATTCTTATGTAAGAATCCCAATCTTCCATGCATGCTAGTCCAATGGGCTGGAAAGATAAGTGTTAGTGCTAATTATAAATGTCAGTCAAAGATATATAGATTGTACATATAATACAGTTTAGACATTCAAACGACTACTACAAACTAGGTAAAAGTTGTAAAAACGTTACGAATAGTTTTTTAGAACTGAAAGGAAGACGTCAAGTATAGTTTCTGATCTGATAGCGTACATACAAAATAAAATGTCAAAAGCTTCTATGAATAGCTACTATGCACACACATGGCGAAAGTATCAAAGCAATCTACGGTTCACTAAAGCAGGTTTCAAGCACTATGCTACGTAATTAAACCACTGCACACAGAAGCGGAAGCGAACTCACAGTACGTGGGCTAACAAGCACTATAGAGGAAGAGCTGGATGAACCGCTACGCACATGCTCGAACAGCTTTGGCAAGTCTTCCTTGACGAGCTGTAATACCCGGGGACTGACGTTCAACCAGTCAACTTCATGCAACGGATTGTTCTTCTTGGCTTCTCGTCTTTGCTTCTTGCGTTTCATCAGCGGCGCTGGATCTTCGGATTCTTCTAGATGTGACTGCCTTCGCTCGCTTATGGTGTAGAGTGGCGAGCGGAAACGCGATGTCGAGTTATACGACCTCGGCGAAGGCGAAGGATAAGAATCGCTCAGCTGCAATCGAGGTATGCCATGCACCGCAACCTCGTTTACAATCCTGGGAACTGAACAGTGGGGATAGGACAGCTCCAACGGCTGCACTGTCTTGTAAGAGGAGGACAGGGGTACAGGCGGAGATTCGAAAGCAACTGGAACATCTGGCGGGGGCGAATCGCACAGAACAGCAAGCTTAGAAAGCATGAAAGGTTCCGAAATACGAAATGAAAGCGGGGGAGATAACAAAAGCGGATCGTGCGGCGTGCAAAGGTCGGGCTGCTGACGAGCAGAGTCCGGAAGACTGCGATTTCTTACAGACTGCGACGTTGGTATCGTCACGTTGGATGGACATGAACGTAATCTTCGCGAACGACGAGCTGAGAGCGCTGAAACCAAACAGCATTAGAGTGTTCGCATAAGTCATGAATTGAACTTTTAGTCAAAATTGTGGGTGGTCGGACTACTTGGCGAATGCTGGCCGCGTATGATCGGCAAGCTGCCAACGCTTGCATTGAAGATTGATATGGTTATCGCAGCTCGGCTCCTTCTTAAAGCACGTGCGGAACAGCGCACATCACTCTGTCGGTGCAATCGTTGGCAGCTGCGGGCGTAACCTTATTTTCGTATCCCCTAAGAACAAATATCATACTTTAAGCATTGCCCTCATTGAGAGTGATTTTCTTTAGGCGTGAGAAAGGCGATTAACAAAAAGACTTGATGGTGGAAAGGAAAGAGTGTGGGAAAGAGAGGCAGAGGAAACTAAATTCTTATAAAGAGGCATTCAAACGCAGGCTCTGTGAAAAATTTAATTGTAAGGCGAAAATAGAACGTTGTGAATGATTCAGTTCAAATGGTAAGATTCCAGAGATGTATTCAGAGTTTGGATGAGAATATTTTGCTTCATGAAGCAGAAATTTGTACGACTTTGGCTAAGATTATGGTGAAGCGGCTTTGAATCAAGTTAGCTTCGTGATGAATCAACATGTTAGCGCTCAAAAAACTTTGCAGAAATCGCTAACAATATCTTGAAGAAGTTGAGGTAGTTTGGGAAGCATTCAGTTGAGAAAACTGGTATAAGGGTAATACGGAGTGCACCTTGCGTAAAATTCTCTTTCCAAATTATGCAGTTAAATCTTCAAAAAAGGCGCATGCAGAAGTAAAAATTCTAAAAAATCCAAATTTTTGGAGGAAGTAGAACAGACACAGAAGCGTATTTTCAAAATTAAAAAAATTGGAAAATGTGACACCTATTTTGCAAACTTAGAAGGGATCTATTAGAAGTTACTTTAGGATTTAGCTAACAAGGAAATGGTAAAATTTAACTCAGCCATTCCAAACAAGCTGTATATCAACGGACTCGTCTCAAAACGCTGGTTATGAATATACCAGTGCGTCACCTCTGCTTCGCAAAGGCTCGCACTGGCTTTGCTATCCACATGCCTTCCTCGTAGTCGCAAAATAATGGCTTTGAAACTTACCTCTCGATGCCGATCATCACGAATGAACTGTAAACAACTACTCATCCCAAAAGCTTATTTATGTAAGATTGGTGACTTTGAGGGAAAGAAAGTATTTTCCAAAAGATTAAATGCAATTCTGAATCAGTTACTGGGGTTACAATGGCTTGATAGTCGCCATAAAGATGATGACAACCGTGAGTTACTCTGAGCAAAAATTTTCTCACATTCTCAGGTAAAACTTTGAAAACCGATCATTTACGCAATTATTCCTTTTTGGCGTCGATTTTGCATGAAAGTAAACTTTTTGCTCACTTTTCGGGCTGGAGTCCATGGTTTGCGGATTTACTTGCTAGACAAAACCATGACTTTGGAAAAAAAATCCAATTACAGGCCCACTTTGGCGCGCGAAATGTCTGGATCCGTTTAGCGCACAATCTCACAGATTCCAACTATCGGATCGGCTTGTTTTGCACAATTTATCTACATGCTGATAGGGTGCTACTACCAAAATTCTAGCTCAAGAACTTTGCTGGAACTCGCTCTACGAATTTCGTGACAGACAGAGATTCAGACACACACTCACAAACGTAAACAACCCAACCGTGCCCGTTATTATAAGTTATGATGAAGCGACTATCTGGGAGGAGTTATGAGCGTTCGAATATGAGTATTTTTTCAAGTTTTGACGAATATATTTTCCTGAAAGGCGTCCTGATGGCGCGGATTTACAGTAGCTATGGTTATTTTGATTACAGGAAAAGAACGCATTCACCAAAAACTTAGATAAGTGTTTTTGAAGCCTACTTCGTGGAACATGCGTCATAGAACACTTGGCAAATCGCACATTCAAACGCTCATAAATCCTCCCAGAAAGTCTCCTAGCAGATAAAAAACATACAATTGAAATTGGCGTTTCAAGACGAGTCCGACGATATATAGCTTGTTTGGAATGGCTGAGTTAGTCTGACTATTTCCTCGTAAGTAAAACATAAAGGAGTGACCTGCTGGGCACGCCCACCTGAAGGAATGTCATCGTATAATGCAGTCTGACTTTTATTAAATTTATAATGCACGTCGCCTAAAGGCGCTTGACACGCAATTTTTTCATGGAAGGAAATGACTTAAAAGGAGGTTACAACTTTTTACATATCTGACTGTGCAGTAAATTCTAATCCATTCAGGCCTTGTTGTCTCACACAAGGAATTTTCTAGCAGTATGGAATAACAATGATGCAGGTTTAGCATAGCACGTTTGATTAGCCGTTTTCACTTACCGATTCCCTCATAATCCGGACTTGGCAAAGGAACTTCGTATTCGAACGACGAAAGTGAAGGATTTGGAGAATGATAGTTGTCCCAGTAAGCCTAAACCCTTGTATGTGATTACAAAAACAGTACGAAAACGAGGTTTCCCACCTGTCTGATATGAACTGATGGTTCTGTGGACAATGAGCAATGTTCGGAGATGGACGGACCCGATTCGTCCCACGACTCACCACGTGAACTTCGATATTGTTTGAGCATGCTACAAGATTTTATGAGAGTAGATATAATTGGAGCGAAAACGACCCACAGTGATCTTGCCGAGGCAGATGAACTAGTGTATACGCTGGGCGGATGATAACTGGAATTTGAAACGTTGACAAAATGAAAAAAAACGATGCTCACAAGGGAAGAGGCACCTAAGTTAACTCGACGTTTTGGAAATATATATATATATATATTCTAAATCAGCTTGCAACGCTGATTCCAATTATGCTATTCCTAGCTGCGGCGCACCATTTTGAAGAAAATGATAAGCTGTTTACTGCGTACTACTCAACATGAGAAGACTGCCTGTAGGCAAAAATGATCTGCCGAAAAAGGTGGTAGGTTATAGAAAGAACATTAGATTGAAATCTTTTTCACTGACAAGCAACCAGGCGCAAATTGATGAAGTCGCTTTTGACGTAAAAATCAGTGGAAAAACAGCTATTCATTCAACATAACAACAAAAAAGCGAAAAAAGCGCACTTCAAGGTATCATTAGATAATATAACAAAAAGAAAAAAACCATTCTGCGTTGATTAGAGGGCTCCGTCAGTGAGTATGGTACCATTATAGCTCAAAATGTCGAAAATTTTTTAGGCCAACCAGATCTGTGGTCTCAGCAATCTGCCAAAGCATTTTTCGCCAATAGTTCAAAGACACCTCATGTGACTGGAGGGCGATATCTATCAATGCGTAGGTTTACACTATTTTTAGCGCAAAAAAGAGGAGAGGCAATTTGATTGACTCTCTTGTGGAGTAATATTCTATACAAATACCCAAATTCGGTGCCATGTGATTGTTCGTGCGCTGTAAACAAGCCATTTATTGGTTTGAGTCTGGCGTTTGAAGTTTGCGCGCTTACAAAAGAACACGTTCAACTCCTAAAAGCTAACATGTTTGTTGTTTGTTTCAACGCTCCGCCCAGGATCTTACAAAAACTATTCCCGTTGCTTCTGACCTCAAAAACGAAGTTCAATTTGGCCCCAGACCATCTGTGCCGGGCCTCGCAAACTTAACGCAAGTATATGAGCACTTAGATGATGATGCCGTGATGCCAGTAAATCTAGGAGTATGCAACTTTTGCACAGAAGTTAATAATTCCTTTTACATTAGTTAGGAATAGTTAGGAATAGCATATTTTGAATCATTGTTCCAAGTTGATTCAAAATAATATGTTTTTCCAGAAAGTCGAGCTGAATTAAGTGCCTTCCTTTACCGGATTGCCGCGCTGTATACTAATTGTAAGTCTGATCAGATTTTAGTGTTGCTTACCTCCTAATAGAAAGTACACTTGGAGAAGGCACATGAATTGCTAGCGGATAATCATAACTATACTGGCTATTTACCAAGGCGTCATCAATTTGCCATCTAAAAAAGATGAGAGAGTCACATAAAGCTATTCCAAACGTGAAAAGCAAGCAATTCTAACTTACTCCAAATGGCTTGATGCTTTGTCTTCTTCCCATTGTTGCTCGACAACAACAGGATCCGGCCTAAATCAAATAATGAGAATTATTATCTTCGAAGATCATTTGTTTTATCTTATTTCTAAGCGGTACGGCTATTCGTCTACCGAATGATTTGGGTGTCTATGTAGAGCACGCAGCCCCTAAACTAAATTATCGAGAAGGATAAACAAAAGAAATAAACTTCTCTTCAATTCCCAAATAAACACTGTTGCTGGTTAACTCATAATCACCAATGAGGCCCATGTTTGAAAGAACATATTAGGTTGGCATATAAGTTTCGCAACTTTTCTCGTAAATTTCCTCTTATTTTGTGTAGAAATCACATTTTGTGGCATTATGTAGACCTGATGTAGCTGCAAATCTGCGCAAACCATTTGATTTTTGATAACGTAGTACAAAAAATCTAAGCAGTTTTCAAAAACTGCTGAAAATCGAGGTATTACGGTTTTTTGGCAAACATGAAGACCTACGAAACCTGAATTAAACATATTAAAAAGCAGTTATAGGCAGCATGTAGCTAGAAGTGGACACATTGGAACCAGTAAAAAAGAAATGAAGTTTAAAACACAAATCAAGGTGGGACGCCTTTGAGAAGTTGAACAAGTCAAATGCGTCAAGTTCTGAGGGGTATCTGTCAATAACTAAGCTGCGAAAAGTCATATCTGCCAATAACTAAGCTGCGAAAAGTCAGACTTCGCTATAACTTTGCACTGCAGGGTAATCCTATACGGTGAACACGAATATCATAATCATTTGTCGCTAAAATGAAATTCATTTTTTGGTCTCACGTAAGGCCTTTTCATGCGAAGCGAATCTCATTTTTGTGATCAGCATGTCGAATAAGCCCTATAGGCCAAATTTTAGCAAAATCTGACGCTTCTAAAATTTTTCCGTTGTACCGTAAACCTACCGTAATCCTTACATATGGTGGCAAGATTCAGCAAAAATGTCTGCATTAGAAGCTTACATCATAATCCTCTATTGCCAGAAAATGATTGCGCTATGTACAAAAAAATAAAAGTTATATACAAAGTTGCATTACTTATGTGCCAATTTAATATGTACTGCATCTGTGCATTGTTGTTTGGCTATGCAAGTCGCGTTTTGTATGCCATTTTCGCGACTATACCGTGCAGCAAACTGGCACGTAAACGCAAAGAAAAGTAGTGTTAGGATGCCATACCGCGCCCATAGCCCCGCTACCAGCAGCCTAACCGTCGCTGGCCGCCTATATATATAGAGAGAGAGCAAAATTCAGATTCTGACCACGCTGCGTGCATCCGTCTACGCTTTTCATCTCTTGCTTTTCCTTCCTGATTGGGCTGATGTGCAGTGCGACTTATTACATTATAATTGTGTTCTTTGTTGTCACTATCTTTGCTGTAGATTCCCAATTTCACTATGGCTGTCTTGCTTGAAACGATTCTGTTAAATCACTCCTCCGATTTGGGTGCGCTTAAGTCTTTCCTTGTGTGCTTTGCTTCCTTTATCTTCGCATTAGGTTTACGCGCTCGTTACTTCTACATAATACATAGCATAAGTCTAATTATATCGAAATAGATTTCCCATTCACTTATCGCGTGTGAATGAATGTGATTGGGCCTTCACCTTGTCGTAATCCACCTCTATTTCGTAAACCACTTGCGAAATGTCACAGAATCTCACAGCAAATTAGACGACAATGATTACCGTAGCTCAGTCTACGGCAACACAATCTATTGCAACAATGAACACATCGTGAAGTATGAGAGTCACACTGCACATTAGCGCAAGCAGTGAAGAAAAAGCAGAGGATGAAAAGCGTATGCTATGCACGCAGCGTAGTTAAATTCTGATTATTTTGCTCTCCTAGGTTAACAAAGGCAGTCAGCCGCGGCTGCAGGCTGTTGACGGCTACAGCCTGTGATGGTATGAATGCACCCTTAGGGCTTGTGCAAACTACGCATCGTATATTAGTTGCTTTCGTGAGAACAACGCGCCTTAACAGTCTGCGCATCCGCTCTCTACCTATCGGTAGGCCTCACATTTTTTAGTTGACCTGTGGGTAAGACTGAAGCTGAAAACGCGGTGTGAACGCTCGACACGCCATCCACGTTGAATTAGATAAAACTAGTTCAAACAAGCACCTTATGACCTTCAAAAAATCAGCTAACGAGGATGGAAGGATGTGGAACGTGCAGAAAAGAAGAATGAGAGGAAAACATTACAAAATAAGAACCCAGCAGATGCGACGGCTAAGTGCCACCAACGAGTCAGAGCAAGGCAGATTGCTTAATGAGATTAGCCACAACTCACAACTGGTTTTGCATTTGCTGAATGTACATCTGCAAAATCTCTTCGCCTTGTCCCATTGCCAATCGCCGTTCGATCATTCGCTTTCGCTTTAACAAATGTAGTAGATCAGTACCGCGGAACTAGAACGGTCAACGTCAAAAGTTTAAAAGTTGTCGGGTTTTTATGAAACAACTTTTCTTCCAAAGTAGTGAATCTTCTGGATGTACTGTATGCCGACAAGATCGATGCACATGGTGGTAACGGCCAAACCGATACCGAGGTAGGCGAGCATTAGCACAATGTAGCTGTAAAGAAATTTGGTAACACTCCTTGACAGTAGTTATAGGTATGCTTACTCATGGTTTTCGGGTACAATATCACCGAATCCTATGGTGGTCAAAGAGATGAACGCTGAAAATGTGATGGTGGAATAAAAAAACAAAAATACATTATTATCAAAAATCAAAAAATAAGCTCAAAAAAAGAGTGGATTACGATCACCACCATACTGGCATCTTCTGTGTCCCTCTGTGGTTTTAGTGAGGTCAGGTCAGTTCGGCGCATAGTAATGAAATCGAAATCGAGATCGAAGAGTTTGGCATAAAGTGACCTGGCTTTCAGGCACCGTTTTTGTTACATCATCGAGTAAAATGGATTTCGGTTCCAGTTCCGCTCTTGAAATTGATCTTCTCCTCGATTTTGTTTCGTGATGTGTGAGTGCATAATATCATGCTTCCTCTTTCCATAATTTAAAAAAGACCTAAAATCTCCACTCTCTCCTCTTTCACACTCTGCAGGCTCCCGCACTTCTCTTATATCATTCCTCTTGCGTACTCCACTGTCATCTTCAGTTGCTAATACACCCTTTTCAAGTTTACATACCATATGTTTGCTATGAAGAAGGATTTGAACTACATAAACTATGGATTTTCACATGGAGATCTTTCGACAAATGTGATACACCACTCACAATAATAGAATGCATCCATATATGTCCAACCTTCGAGGAACGAGAACAGAATTCCACCAAATGCAATGTAGAGCTGTAACAAAATAAGCTTAAATAAAGCTTTTGACTCAAAATTGCCACGTTGCAGTTCTATGCAGTACTGCTAATACTTTATCAAACCTCTCGAGACAGTAAACAAAATGAATTCACCAGCAATATTGTGAAGACCATAAAGACAGGCACTTCGGTCTTATCCATCACCAAATCCTCCCAGTCAAGCGTGTGCGCACTGGATGACTGCGATTCGGCGTCGTTCTCTTACAAATGATTGAAGTAGAATATATCATCCTACACAATGTTTTGCAAAATTCCTGAATTACCTTTGCTCAGTCCTCGAAATCGGCGCCATCGGGCTCGTAGTAGCGCCCTCACTTTCTTCATTTCTTTATACAGCCAAATGGTGCATTCGGAGAGGAATTTTCCCAGATCTGTGCAGAGAGGTTAGAAAGGTAATGTGGTGCAATGCATATACAGTATTTGAGCATTTCGAGTATACCTCCAATTGTGATGATGGCAAGTGGTGCGCCGAATAGCGCAAATACCACACACGCTATGCGACCGGAAGAAGTTGCAGGGACGATGTTACCATATCCTTGAAAATTTGATTAACATTGCCCAGATGTTCAAAATTTTCTTTCGTTGTCTTTTGCATTTGTTTTGAAATCAAAATATTATGAAAATTGGAATGACTCAAAAATTCGCGTTGTCTTGTTCTTAGATTCAAAGAAGTTGACTTATCTGTCCTAATTTCATGAGCTTATGGAAAAAAAGGCCAAACAAAGAATCGCAAAGAATAAGAGAGATGAGAATAAACATCTTAGAGGATGGCAAAATGCAAGCCGATTTAGCAGGATTGTAAATTGCATAACTACTGATAATTTCAATTTCAAATTGCCCCATATTGCTGCGATTTTCCTCTGTACATACTTTACCTAGCTGAAAATGCCTGCCGTACGTTTAAGTACAAATTGGATTAACAAACAAGTGCTTTTGCAAAGTGAGAAAATTGAAGTTTTAGGCATCTAGAGATGAGAGTTACTTATTTATTCATTTCGTAGCTCAAGATGCTGTAAATATTCTAGAAAAATTTTGATGTATACAATGTAGAGGAGGCTGCGCTATCACAATGACTCTTTCAAAAACTTAAGATAAAAATTCGCGAGTATTGCCATTGACCATCTGTCTTCAAACAAGTTGGAAAGCTATAGAAGCGCAGCACGCACTGTTCTAAGCTCAATTCTATGAAAAACCTCTAACATCTGATTAAAATGGATCAATGGAGTAGTTCTTCGTTTGCATAATCACCTTGACTCCACCTGAAAAACTTTTTTAAACGTTGCAGAACGGCCAAAAGCTTGCTCTATCATACTGCACGGCATGGAAGAATTTTATTACGAGTGTCTGCGCCTTTAACAGGTGGACTCGCCAGGATTTTGAAGGGCTGTCGAGTGTTGCGCTGTATTCGTAAAGGTTCTATGTGTGAAATTTTCTATTTCCAGGTAGTTTCTTTTTCTGATTTTGTTTGAGAAAGTTGGGCTCCCAGCTTTTGAGGTACATAACCGAACTCGTTCAAAGACTATGAACTGAACTGGAATAAGCTAAGATATCGTCAAAACAAATTCGCAGGAAAAGCTTTTTAAGATTAACATAGGTTTATCTACCAATTGTCGCCATTGTGGTTGCTGCAAAGAAGAGTGCACTACTAGCCGTCCACATCTTCTCGCCTTTCTCACCACGCAGTTTGGTATTCCTAAAAACAACGTTACTATTCTTCTTGTAAATTTTTGATAAGGTGAGGGTAAGAGCCTTTTGGTAAGCGTGTCTTGAATTTCTTTTGGGTGTTACTCAAAACCTAGGCATTTAGCTCACCTATGTCTCTTCGATCTGTCTCCGTCCTCTTTCCTCATCGACCATTGATAAGAAGGAGTTACTCGTACGTCAGCATACCTGTAAAAACGTGCCTGACACCGTACACTTCCATAGCTTAGCCCTCACCTTACGTACTGCTCCTTGAATGCCCTATAGATCTTGTCGTTGAATCGATATAGTTCACCCTCAATCGAGTCTCGCCATTCTTCTCGGCTGCCTCGACCTTAACCCATTTCGGTCTATATGTCTTTCGCAAGGAGAAACGATAAACTTACCCGTTCTAATCATCGCTACCAAATTTCCCCTCATATCGGTAATCAGCGCTTTGCCAACGGATTTCAACTGAATATGGATATAATAGTTCAGGACGAAATGGTAAGTAAACAAGTTGAAGTTTGATCTTGAATCAAAAATTTTGATTAGACTCACTCTGTCTTCGTTTGGTGACTCCAACCGATAGAAAATGTATGCTCCAATCACTGCGTATAAACAAACAACGGCAACAAGAGCAACGTGTGGAAGCACAAGCTTGACATACTGAAAGATACTTTCATCGAAATTCACGTGAAGGTATGATAATTGATTGTTTTCAGACCGTACTCAGACAGTTGCTCGAACCCCACCGCAGGGAACCGAAAATCTCGGAGTGTTTCGGAGGATACTATCAACTGCTGGAGCTGCCAAGTAAAGTGGGGTGTGGTACGGTCCGCTCGCAGTGACGTCACAAATTGAGGCGCAGGATTTCCGGGGATTGACAAACGTATTTTGCGAAAATTTCCAAAATCTCCAGAACCTCCGAGGAAATTGATAGGCAGCCAAATAGCCGTTAAGCTGATAAGCAGCTTGCGCTATTTCCGAAAGAAGCTCTTGTCGTTAAAGCTTGCTTTCGAATCGCTTTTAACATGTGTTTCTTCCGCATTTTCGTGTTTCCCCAATCGCGTACTTGGTTTTACCGCTTTTAATTCTTCTTCTTTCAAGTAGAACATTGCAGATGCAATCTCAAATCAGTACCACCTTGGAGAACTGCACTGTTGTCACGATCGCTTAGTTGTTCAGCTTACAAGGAAAGGAAGGTTGATCAAAGTGGCCTTTTGCAAAGAGATGTATACTTTCTTGTAGAGCTTGGAACGGTCATTCCGAATCTGCCTTCGCTATCTGCTGCGGGCCTCTAGGAGTTACGAAGGTCTTTGTGAGTAAAAAATCAAATGCAGAATCATCGTAACATTTTTTCAGGGCTCAAATGGTAATCGGGTCACTCAGTGCAGCAGATTATTCTTTGCAAATTATTCAAATATACCAATTCGTGCTGCCTCATTTGGACGTTAGGAAAAGGTTACGACTGATTTTATAGTAATTTTGCAATGGAATTTATACCCACAAAAATCTTCATAACTCCTCTACCAGAAGCCCGCAGCAGATAGCAGAGGCAGATTTGGAGCCAGCGTTCCAAGCTTTACAAGATGGTATACATCTCCTCTCAAAAGGCCACTTTGGCCAACCTTCCTCCCCTTGTTAGTGGATGCATAATCGTCTATTTCTATAAGAAAATGAAACAAAAGAGAAGGGTTGCCTCCTCAAAACAACACTGTTTCGTAATTTTGTGCCTGTCTTCTGCATACACTTAAGACTAAGCAGTTACAATGATGAGTGACGGAAAAGTTCAAATCATTGCTCGCTCGGCAGGAATGCGAGATTTTTGCTTCCAAGACAATTAGAGATTAAGTCGCAGGTGTCTAATCAGAATGAAGAAACATTACAAGGAGAATTGGGAAAACATCAAACCGTTGCAATGGAGCCCTGGTCGATAATCAATCAACGACCGAGTTTATAGTAGCTCAGTGATTTAAGATACTCAAAGTTAAAGACGTTAATTTTATAGAGTAGGAAATTGGAAAATCTGGCTCCTATTGCTGTCTCCCGTCGAAGCTCATGTACTTTTACTGGGACATTTTCCGATGAACATTTCCTGCCAAAAATGCGCGTGAACATGATGTCTTACCGTGCATTACAAGAACAGCGCAATGTTGCGGTGCCTTACGTTACACCGGTGAGAAGAAAACCCATATGATTGAAAAACGTAGGATACCAGATTAACTTGGATTTAAGCTGTACCTTTTTAATTTTGGTGGCAGCGTCTTCAGATACTGGATGTGCACTTGTTTCCAGCAGTCCCTCGATCTCACGGAGTTGCTGGTCCATGGAGCTGCCAGTTCATCCGCGAGACGCTAGCCGCGCGCGAGCCACGCGAAGCACAACCGACCTTCCGTCTGAAACAAGTTCGTCGTTATTAATGGAAACACACAATCAGTTTAAACCTAGTGCACTGAACGCGACCTCTCATTGGATACAATTTCTTACACTTTTGCTAGGATCTTCGCCACGTGAAATCAAAATCACAAAATTACGCGGAACTCGCGCAGAATGGCTTTGACTTATTTGGGATAAAGATTTACTGCACTAGCCAATCTTGATGAGTGCTTTTCTATAAATTTTTTGTCTCTTAGCTTTACCTATGCAACTAGTACCGGAAGAAGTTTGACAAAGGTATCAAGTTGTTACTACTCCTAGTCTGGAACTTCTATTTTCACATTCATCACTAGATTTTTTTCGTCCAAGGCAAATAAATGCTACATGGAAATGCCACTTCGCACTGACGTCACTCCAATACTTCGCGTATGCACTAGTTAGGCACGCGTATGCACGCCCTGACTCCCGTTCAACACTTTCGTGCATCAGTTTTTCATGTGTAAACGAAAAGTTCGGAAGTAAATTCTATGCAGTAATAATACTGATGTGATTGTCATGTAGAACACAGGGCATCGCCGTAGCTGTTTGAGAGTCTAAATGACAAATTTAGATAAGAAGGGTCCATTTTGATATGGTCCAAAATGGCTCGGTCGTCAACGCGTTAAGTTTACATACCGCTCTTTTCTCAATTTTATTTCAAAAGGGGTGATATAGGAATTAAGACGACAGGATAGATCTATTGCCTCATATTGTACTCCGCAGGTAATCGTGGAGTAGCTTTACATTAGTTATGCTACAATTATTAGACTGGCACAAAAGTTCTGTCGAACAATCTTCAAAACTCATAAATTCTGATTCTCTTAACCGACTTATTTGCTTTTACGTTTTCTGAGAGAGTGTATCATGCTCTCCATAACAGTGTTGAACTTCCTTCTGCTGAGCTTACATTGCATAGACAGAAGCAGTACAAGAAAATAACTCGAACTCTGATTTTCCTATGTTTGATCGTAGAAAATTTAGAACTTGCAATGAAAAGGAGGAGTCGATATTATAGGCTCTATCACTGCCTTTTATGGAAAATGTTTGTGCTGACTGTGTCTCTATGAAAAACTATAGCCCGTAATAAAGTCCTAGCGCAACTCGGCTGGGGCGGACCTACGTTGAACGTAGAACGACTAAGCGGGCATCCAGTGAGTCATCGATGTGGATATAGATCGCCTTTTGGACATTATAGCCATGCGGGTTTCTGGGGACACAGCCACTCGTGCCCATTTGGTAAAACGGCTAAATCACTAGGATTTCAGGAGTGCGGTCAAGATTCGAGACCTACCACAGGTAGCATTTTGCTGCGTTGGCGGCAGCTTTGATAGCGGCCACTTCGAAAAATCAATGATGACCGCTATCAGAATCGCGTAGCAAGCAAAGATATAAAAGAAATTCGCAACATTTTGGCATGCATGCCGGCAAGAAAATCACAATTTTCCAAAAACAGATAGAAAAATAAATTTATTCTTTTCATTTAAAGGCAGCGTCCAGACAAATCTGGACTATGGGGCTCTCATATGGATAGTAATTTTGGGGCCCTAACTAAGCCCTGCCCAACCGGCAGCTCAGGTAGCGCACTAACGGCTGAGATATTCGCCTCGAAACTGGACCCCGAGATCGTACTTCGCATGGATTCATGGCGCAACGCGTGGATCCTCGCGCGAAACTGCCATGAATCCATGCGAATACGATCCCGGGGTTCAATTTCGAGGCGAATATCTCAGCCGTTAGAACAGTACCTGAGCTGCCGCTTGGGCAGTGGCTTAGTTAGGGCCCCAAAATTAGGATCCACGTGAGAGCACCATATGTCCAGATTTGCCTGGACGCTGCCTTTGAAGCCGTTGCATGTAAAAAGCAAGCAAGAAAGAAGTGCAAGAAAAAACAAATCTTTTTTTCTTTGTTCCTCTCGAATCGGTCGATAATCGATCTCCTCCGACTTAGGCCCCGAAATTGTGCAGTTTTGCGCATTCTTGCACCGCAGTAGTACGTCAGCTAAATTGTCCCACAAGTTACTCACGTGCAATTTACGGGAAATTTGTCTGATTCTCCTGTTTTGCGCACTATCTCTCTCGGATCACCCGAAAATTCAACCTCGGATAAGTGGCATTCTGTTGAACTGACTGTGACACTTGACCGGATAGTCTTCTGACTGTTCCACCGACTATCCTAAAGCACGGTACGATGGGCGGTATCAGGTTCACCATAGGTCTTCTGAATGACTAATCTCAGGTCACCTGAGATGGGGTTTACTACGAGCCTATGATTTCTGAGCAATCAATACAAACAGAAAATATGATCTTTGGCATTTTTTGAAAATTATAGATTTTCATAAAGGGGTTTAATCAGCACAAACATTGCTTTTATTATTACCAAACTCAAAAAAGCAAAATTTAACTAAGTTTCTTCTGCTGCTTCATAGGCAATGCATGCACAGTAGAAAACCGCTAAGAACTGCTGCTATGAAAATCATGATTTACACTTCCAAACGAAAATCAAAGCAAGCAAATTGGTAGAAAATCAGAACTTACAAATTTTTGAAAATAGTGCGGAGAACTTTCGTGCCAATCTGGTATTTATAGACAAATATCAATATTTCTCTCAAAAAATTTAGTTTTTGATAGCGCTTCAACTAAAGGAATTCTTTAGGCGCTCTCTATGAATACTTAAGTGTCCAATTTTGCTTATAATTTACCTAGAAAATCAAAAAAATTGCTACCCAATCAAGGCGCCTACTTGATTTTACGGAAAACTTCAAAAAACGTAAGCCTACAAACGAGGGCCCCGCGCGAGGTGGCATTTGAAAATTTGGAATACGAAGTCCACCTTGACATTGCAGAATCTTACGAAATACCTTTTGTGGTGTCTGAAGAAGTATGTCTAATGTACTGCAGCGAATGGTGAGTGAATAGAATTGAGAAAAGACAAGGAAAATTGGAATTAAAAGCAGCACGTGAAAAAAGGCGGTTTTAAATCCTCAATGGCCATAGCAGAGCAGAGGAAACGAAATTTGAGTCAAAGTAAGTAGTAGTAAGTAGTCAAAGTAAGGTAGACTTTGAACTAAGGAATTGATTTATGTAGAAAATTTTAAAAAAATATGTGAGGAAGGGAGAAACTTATGACTTTGTTGCGTTCCGCGCAATTTCAGGGTGCTCGGTGCTCCCAGGTTGCGCAGGAGCAACCTAAATCGAAAAAACGCTTGCAACTTCTCCCATTCATATAATTTTTCCAAAATTTTTCATACTTTGCTTTTTGTCGTCGTCGCGAAGGTACACATCAAATTTGAAGTCTCAAAATTGCACCGATTGTAAACGAATTACTTATTTATTTTCTGCGCATAAAGATTGTGTTCTAACACGTTGAAATCATGTGCACACGGGTCAAAACACTTATCGTGTTTGTAATGTGTCAATCTGCCTTCTGGTGAAATGACGTCAGAGCTCAAAATTAGGGCTCATTAACAATAAGTGTTAGCTTTGTGCTTGTTGATATTTTGTTAAATTTCCAGGTAACCCCTAAAAACTTTACTAGCTCTCTTTTGCTTCCCTCTCACAAAACTATATATCCCAAGATTCAAAAACCGGATCCTTGAGTATCGACTGCAAAGTCAAGTAATGGAAAATAAGCGTGTTTATGAAGAATACCGTACCCTCCAAGTCGTGGCGGCGTTTGCAATTAATTGTTGAACGCGAATTAACCGTAAAGTTCGCTTTGGCAGAGCAGCATCGAATCGTAAGTAACTTCGCTTATGTGGTTTTGAAGTCCACCTGGAATGAAAAGCAGTGGTTACTCATAAGGAGAAAACGTGGACGAAAACAAGCGGGGGAGGGACAAAACTCGGCGACCACGGTAAATCAAAGGAAATGCTCTGTTCAACTGATGAAAATTGACATCATTCGGAGGAAAAGTTTGCAAATTTACATATGGAATTGCATTGAAAATGAATGACATATTAGGTATGTCAATATGTGAATACATTTTGTTATAGAAAAAGAACTGTTTGCCTAACGAATCGATTGTTCAAAAATGAATAATCAACAAAGTATTTTTGGACATTCCCTATACCAGAAGACAAAAGAAGATTTGTGAGATACCAAGACAATGGAAAAAGCGCAAATGGAATGAAATTTGAATGCCATTTGATTCAACGGGATTGGCGGCTGGGAGGCGGGGTTTCGAGGCCCAATCAAGGCTAGGGAATGACCAGAGAGCATGCGCGAGAGAGACGCAGACTGCGTCGCCTGTGCAAGCGGTCGCCTTCCACCGTTCAATTGTTGAATAGGGTAGATAATCGAGCAAAAAAAGAAATGGTCAGAACTTAACTCAGCCATTCCAAACAAGCTGCTGTAATCATCGGATTCGACTAGAAAAATCTCAAATACATGCTTATTACTGCCGAACGACTAGGATTTACGAGCGTTTAAATGTTCGGATTTGTCAAGTATTTTGTAGCGCAGTTCCATGAAAACGTTTCAAAAGCACTTACTTAGGTTTTTAGTAAGTGCGATTCATTCTTGTGATGAGAAAAATCATAATCATTGTAATTATCGCCCTCAGGCTGTTGGGACTATAATGATTCTCATATTTGAATCTCATACCTCCTTTCCTGACAGTCGTTTGGCAGTTAATAAACATATAATGGAATTGAGCGTTGTCAGGCGAATCCGATGATATATAGCTTGTTTGATGGCTGGGTTAAGTTTTGACCATTCCCTTGCTAGGAAACGAACGAATCCTTTTTCGTAAAGTAGAATCACTGATATACCCAACGATTACGTATTATCAAGCAGAATCAATATGGGGATGATAGAATGAGGAATACGTAGCATAAAAAAGAAAAGACCTTCAGTCTACGTAGTTTTGCGAGATCTATTATACTGGAAACTCAAATACACATTAAAAATCATTCCAAGCATGTCCAAATATTATAAAACTTGATCAAGGCTGACATTTTTATGACAAAGAAATTGAGTCCATGCCGAAAGATTTCTGATAAAAAGGCAGATTTCTTTGTTATGAGATTTTACATATGCGACAAGGTTATTGAAAGGCTACAGCTATGACATTATTTTTTTCGATACTCTGCAGCAGCCGAATTGCGCTAAGAAGAATACACGAAAAAAGAAGATTCTAGCATTTACGTACTATATGCATGTGCGAATGGGAATCTAAAAAACTAAAAGTCAAAAAAAGAAAAGACCACATCCTTTGGAACAATAATTGCCTTTAAAAGGGTTCCTGGATCAATCTGTATTATATAAATGAAAGAGGATTGCGGTTCAAAAGGAACAACGAAGCTCGACAGTACAGAGAACCACTGCAAAGGATTCTTGCAAATTGTAGCGATAAATACACGCATTACAAAAATAGAAATTTTTTAAATTTCGAGAACTTAAGATAACAACTTCGGCAATCACTGTTATCTGTTAGTTTGTTGGGGAAATATTTTTTGAAAATAGAATGCTATCGTGTCACAACTCACGTAATAGATGTGCAAAATGAGGTTAGCTCACAGATGATTAGATTGTAGAGGCGGTTCCAGAGCACTTTTCAAAAATTTCATTTCGTGAGGTACTTTTTTTGCACTCGGCTGGTTTTCAGGTCTAATTTTTTAACTTCTTTGATGGGACACCTAAGCTTTCGATGTCGTCATGTCTTTTCCGACGTTAAAGTTAGTAAAAAAATGAAGTAGAAGCACGAATGACAGCAATAAAAGGAGAGGAGTAGAAGGAGGCTAGATTCAACAGTGTATAGATGATTAACCCACGCTCGACTGATGAGTATCGACTATGATTAGATTGAAAAAGAAACAAGGAGTTCATTCCATTTTTTCCACGGATGAATCTAAGGTAGGTGGAGGTACAACCTTTGTAGATTTTGTCAGTGGTGAAGAAAGACCGTACTAAAAAAATTAGATTAAAGATAAAAATAAAGTTGACCTTCTCGTACTCCTGTATTTTGTCTTCCTTGACTGCGACTGTAAATCAGATTTAAGTAATTAAATCGATAGGAATACAAAAATCTTGGAATATACAGCACTTCAGTTCTATATGGAGGAGCTGCAAACTCCAACTCCAAACTTTTCATTCTACGAAATGGACTTTCTCGGAAATAGAGCATTATGCACATGACGTTCTATGCAGTCAGAGATGAAAAAGTAATGTCCTACGTGGGTAGCTCACAAATGCATTTGCAAGCGACCAAAGTATAATCGACCTGGATATAAATGTGGTAATCATACGAATGAAAAATTTTGATGACAGGGAGGAGCACATTTGAGTTTGGATCTGGCTTGTCTTCGAAAAAAAAAACAATAATTAGATAATGCAAGAGAAAAAAGAGGACTTTTGTTATTTGCTAGAAAAATTGTTTCATACATGATTCCTCCGACAGTATTTAGGGCCCGGCAGAGATCGTCCAGACGCAGGCTGGACATCATTTTTTGAGCAAAAAAGCAAAGGGGATATCGTTTTTGTGGGTCCAGAAAGGAACAAGTTAGATGAGCTTTATTTTTGGTCAGGATCAGAGGGGGACTTCGTTTTCAGAAACTCTGGAAGTCGACTTTTGTCGGGCCCTGACAGTGTTTGCAATTTTTGAAACACGTACCAGTCACTTTCTAAGAGCCTAGCAGACGATTCTGAGAAAAAAGCCCTCCATGGTCGCGAGGATCAAGTTACTAATGTATGCAATCGCACACTATGTCTACTTTCCAGAAAATTCGACGCATATCTTTCACGTGGCTTCAATTGCATTTATAAGCCACGTGGCTTCAATTGCATTTATAAGCATCTCTCGCCTAGAAAAGGTTGCGTTTTGCAATAGATTAAATGAACTCAGTCTTGAAAAATGCCAATCTCCAGCGACTAGAGTGTTTTTCCTTCATAGCACATTTTTTCCGCGTTTCCCGCGCGAAAAAAGTCTGTAAGGAAAAGCTCACCAAAAAGCTACTAATCATATTTTTTCATATCTTTTCAGAGGGAAAACCATAACAGTTTACAGCAATCAATGACTAAAAAATAGCAATAGTTTTTCGTGAGGAAATCAAGAATCAGAAATGCACAATCTATTCCTCCCAAATTCAAATGCGTAAACTAATCTCCACCAAGAATCGATATCAACTAGCTTCACTTAAAATTCACTAATTTCACAACACTACAAATTTTTCTTTTTTTTATTGATTTTCAGCCTTTGAAGGATCTTTCTTTTGCATTTCGTCTTTTTTTTTGTGGAAGTTTTAAGTTCGAACAGATAAAACATAGTGAGTGTGTATAAAGCTTGAGAGGAAGTAAAGCTCATGCGAGAAGTTCGCTCTTCTTGTATCAAAAACAAATCCAATTTGGCCTCTGGAGACTCGATTCAGTGGACTCCAAGCTGGACTCAATCATTTTCTCCCCTTTCGCTGAAGCCTGAGTCTGAAGAAGTAAAAAGGATCAAGTCAATGAATAAAATCTGAGAGGCCTTTCCGAAATGAAAATAGATTCCGTGCGAAATAGAAGAAATTAATCTAGAAACAGTACTAATCTTGTTGGATTTGAAGCGCCCTTGCTGCCAAAACTCTTATGCATAAAAAATGGTCGATCGAGCGCAAAATTTAAGAAGTATGATTTTTTTTACGTTGTTGTCATTATTCTAGATGTTGGTTGGCAATACAGGCAATCAAATGTCGGATTTACTAGAATAAAGAAACTCAAAGATTCTAGTATTCGATTTGACTGTTTTGAGTCTCGACGGACTACCAAACCGACCAAGGAAACCTCGGGAAGGTAAAAACTTCTAGCCCAACAAATTTCCCTTCTCTCCCTCTTCGAAGTCATGCAATCTGTCGTGATAGAATATCTCTTTCATGTCGATCTTTGATTTCTGTACTAGATAGTTTTTGGTAGCAAAAGAAAAGGCATGAAATTGGAACCTGCCGAAAATGAGAGATTCGAAGCTAGAGCCATCTGGCTATAGCTATCAGCTCAACACGAAAAGCCATGAATATATGGCAATAAAAACCCCAACTACCTATAATCATGACGTGAATCGCAATCTTCAAAACCGACATGAGAATTGCGAAAGGAGCGCTTTAGCATGGGATATTTGATGTGAAAAATGGACTTCGAAAAATGAGTTCAGTGAGTTTAGGGATGAGCACAATTCGCTCAGAAGGATTCTCCTTTAATTTTAAAAAATTTCGCCATGTTCATTATTTTATTTATAGTTTTAGACCTTTTCTCAATTAAAAATGTTTATCTGACCTCAACCATGGAAAAATACAAAAACTCAAAGGGCCTTGATAGTCAAGAGCAGTTTGCAAAATTTCATTGGATAAAAGGCTCAAAAGGTCAAAATACAATAACAAATAAGAATTAAGAGCTTAAAAGGTTCGTATACAGCAGAGTTACAAAAAAGGGAATGCAAATAAAGAGGATATCCTATTTGCTATGGAGCTAGAGCGCCAAGTCCATTAAAGCTCCTTTTTGGACAAATCAAACTCCGGACAAGTAACAAAATTTACTGGATCTGACATCACAACTGTTGGTCGCGCAAGAGATGGATGTTAAAAAATTTTTGGAAATTTGCGAACTCATCAAGATATGCTCCATGCCAGATTGAAGTGAATTTAGGTTTTGTAAATTTTAAGTTTTCATAAATTTCGCCACGAAACTCATGATATTTTGATGTTTTCCTCGCTATTGTTCACTATCAAGTACAGTTATCCTGATTTGGTGTCACTCAAGGTTATCCTAGTTTTGGTGCCATATTTGGTGTAAGCATGCATCGAGAATATAGACATTTCAAAAATATTATGATTCAAATTTCGAGCGCTACTAAAAGAACCGATTGAAGCATGTCGATTGTGCACTAACTTGTTCGGAAGCAATGTGTACACGAAATCACGTATTCACATGTAGAACATGTACAAACGAGAACTCCTTTGCTTTCCCCCAAAAAATGCGCAAAGGAAATTGGCACACTGCCAAATTGAGGAACAAGTATTATGTAGATCATGATCGCGAATTTTATATATCCTAGAGAAAAGTTGACATTGAGGTGAGTGGGAAAAATACGCGGAACTGAGTTCATTTCCAATCTTAATTCATGTCACTTCGTAAGAGTTATTCGCACAAACGCGGAATTTGGCGTAAACAACAAAGTACAGATGTACGGACCAACGAACCGCGAGATAGCCTCATAAAATAAGGTGTCCGTACTTATAGGTTAGTGCAAAATCCTATTGAAAAGCTAAAATGTAGCTGAGAGTAGCTTCGATACGAAAGAGCTAGCGAAGGACTGGACGATGTTATGAGCATGCGACGATGAAAGAAGTAAGCCGTTATGCTCGCAATGTCAGAGGAAACGAGGAAGTGAGAAAAAGAAAAGAGAATAATGGCCGAAAATGCAATCAGCGAACAATAAGTGGACTTGAGTAAAGCTGGGGAGAAAAATCGCAGAAACACAAGAGGAGCAGAGGAGGGAAGGAGAGTGAAATTTTGAAAAAGTTGGTGAAGGATTTAGTATATTTTGCCGTTTCATATTTGATCTACCGCTCGAAAAGCTCATGACTGCACTGATTGCATACTACTCTGATCTCTCTATGATCACGTGCACTCTGATTACTCTCATTGTCCGCACTCTCTCAAAAACATGAACTCTCTCGCAAAGTGATAGTTTGCATTGAAAAACTACAGAATATTACACATTTTCTCAAAAAGCAGTCATTTGATTGGGTAAAGATAGGTAGAGATATAATTTGAAACAGAAAAAGCCCAATATGTGAGTAGAGGCCGACTTGCAAAGCGGGCTGAAATCTGGTCGGAGTCGAAGCGAGCGGGAGCGGCAGGTAATGATGTGCTGTCCACTGCTCTCGCTGGCGTCGAATAGATGGATGCAGCGTGCGTAACTCATTCGGCTGAAACTCGCCATAGTGCGTGGCGAATTTACGAGGCCCAGCCACCAGAAAGCCAATTAGAAAGCGGACCGACAAGCCCCGTCGGGCTTGGCCCTCGGCTCGGACCTGCGCCGTCGTCGCCGCTGCCCGCAACTCATTCGGAGAGGCAAAACGAGCAGCGGCAAGATGACGATGACGCGCTCGGAGTGCGCCCGTGTGAGCCCGCGCGCCCCTGGACGAGATGATGATTGCCGTCCACACGCGGCCACGGATCTCCGGGCGGAAATCGCGCGCCAACGGCAACACGTGGCGCTCGGCCGCCGCTGCTGCTGCTCGGTCGATCGAGCAGCCGTATTCCGAAACTGCACACCAGCACCACACCGATATAGTAGTAGTAATGCAATGGAATCTCGCCCCTCGCAGCTCGGCCCCAGGGAACCGACGGAACCGCTCGCGCGCATTGGAGAAGATAAACAAGCAGCTTTGATTTCAAGAGCCCGTGGCATGAATATCTTGAAGATAAATAGGCGTCAACACGTGGACCTCGCTAAAAAATTGACAAGAGCTCGAGGGAGGGCGACTGCGAGGGCTAATCAGCCTTTAGAGTAGAAAAGTCACTTATAGCGTAATGTGTGAGATTGCACCATGCGCACTACCTCACGAGTTGTTAGTAGTTGCTGAACTCGCTGGTATGGACAAACTGTTAAAGAAATTGTTTTTTTAATCACAATTGTCATTAACCACTCACAACTCCGAGTGACGGAGACGATTTTCGAAAATAACAATTGTAGAAGAAAATTTGTGGCATGTCCTGCGTTGTGTGCAGCACACAGATTACATTACAGAAAATCGGATGTAGTAAAAGTGAAAAAAAATCGACAGATGTAGTTCCTTTACGGTACCGACAACATTTGCGCGTAAAAATCGATCTTGCAATGCCGACAACAATTGCGCGGAAAAAAGTGACCGCTGAACGCAGTTTTTTTTTGTTCCGGAGCCACTTTTTATGCGCAAATGTTGTCAGCAGCGCATAGACACATGTCGATCTCAAAATCTACTATACCAAAGCTAATTTTGACTATCCCCTGCTCTTTTTCATACTTACGCAAAGCGTGAGAGATATCATGCACCAATGAGCTGGAAAGAAAGTTCTCAAGCACTTGCTTTTGACGACGTGCCAGCAAGCGTACATGAAGCCAGGCATTTTGCATAATCGATACTTCCATGAAATTTAAGACTAAATTCGAAAATATAGCATTTCACTCATTCTCTCCAATGCAACATCCCATATGCTCGTTTTTTGTTGAATACCATTGGTAAACCATACATGCTGTGAGAATCAGCCGTTAAGAAGGGGAGAAGATTTTTAAAAAAAACACAAACTTAGCTTTCATGACGCTAAAAATGCACATCACACATAGGGAAAACTGCAAATGAAGATATATTTTTGTGCACTCATTAGTGGAAGATATTTAATTACCAATAAAGATTTTGCAACTAAGAGCAAAAAAAAAGGAAGGACAAAATAGACTGACTTTTTTGTGGGTAAGGTAATAGAGAGATAGTAGACGGATAAGAGCACTATTGGTGAAGTCCAGGCAAAGGCGAAAGATTAAGTGATGCATAAAGTTTTGCATAATCAATGTGCGTTTTTTAAAAATCAACTTTGAACCAAAAATTTGCGAAATGAGCCTTTTAAGCGTAGTAAAGACAACTGTAAGCAGCAAATCTTGGTTATGCAACATATGATTTGTATAACTGCAATCATTACAAGCAGAGAAAGTATTGCAAAAAGTTGAAAGTCACTCTTTTACCCAGCATCGGGTTCAAAAAACTCACTTTTTAACGTTCTACTTTTCTTCGCTGGAAGATGGAAAAAACCCAACCTGCAAATGAACTAGGTCTCCCCTTGCTGTATAGTGAGAGGATTCTGCAATCGTTCTTTGCTCAATATTTTTATAAGGCACGAAAGGGCCCTCACCACCATTCAAGTTTACAATGATTCCTCTCAGCTCAGAATTTTTTGAAAATTATGGCCAGCATTTCCTAGCTAGAACTTCGCTATCGTTGGGCGTATTCTCTTGAAATTAATTCGCGCCATTCCTCCAAAATTAGAGCAAAAAGGGTAACGGGAGAAATATTCTTTTATCTTTGATAGCTCAAAACTCCTGAATGAACTAAGAGCTGCTAAAGCGATGGAACAAATAAGAAACTAAAAGGAGCAGTCTTTTGATAGTATAAAAAGTTCCTAAGGAAACTGCACTTTGGAAATCAGCGCTTGGAAAAAGACTTTAGAAAACCTGCATTATTATCTATCAACCTAATATAAGCTACTGCAGGTAGCAAAGAAAATCCGGTTAATTTTATTTCTGGTCTAGCCAGACCTAGAAGATATTGATATTCACATGAAAAGATGAATTTCTCCCGCATACATATTTTAACCATGATGACGACAAGGCTATTCTGCTAAATTTTGTAGCAATGAATAAGCACTGATTGCTGCCGGTGCTAGCAAAGATGTCGAAGCTTGTTAGTTGTTCATTCAAAATCCATCTAAAGTTTGGGAAAAATATTATATCAAAATCTTTATGATTAACACAGAGGGTAACGTACTGTTTATGGCCGATTTGCACGCAAAAAATGCAATAAAACGCAGAACTCAAATGATGTTTCTAATGGTTATTTTTTTCGCGCAAGTGTTGTTTGCAGCGCACTTGCACTCGGTTTACTCAACCATCTATAATTTTTATTGCAGATTCAACTGGATTAATTACTTGATATTGAATGCGACTGTGCAAGGGATTGCAAGGGATGAGTACAAGAAATTCAACGCTAGTTGCGGAGGTCAAAAAGTGAAAGATGTTATGGCTGAACGACGCTCAAATAGCGTACGATCAGATGAAAATTCAACATAGCGAGAATTCCAAAAAATCTCCGTTCAAACAAAAAACGAGACTCTCGATTTATTGCCGAATTTTCAGGGTCCCCCGAGAGAACGTTTTCATTTCAAAGCAGCAAGCAATCATTCGTCATCAAAGACCGGATCTTTGCGGGAGGTCTTGAGAATGAGGATAACGGTGTTCTGAAATTTTTGCGCTCGCATTTCTCTTTTTTATGTTGAAAGAGTCATGAAAACGACGGAAGGGCGGTGAAGTTGGAAGAGAAAACGTGATATATTCTGAAACTGTAGAGCATAACGCA